AAAAAAAAGATTTAGATACATTCTCGGAGGACAGATTCCAAGTGGGTTCTTAGAAGGAAATTAAGAATCCTCAGAATATGGCCCTACCCTTTCCCAGTCAAAATGATTTTTTCCTCATTTTACTGCAAGACCATCAATGACAGATTAGTAAAATGGTTCCATATTACAGTACTTAGGTTCTGTTACAAAGGCAGGATCCCTGTCCCTTGAGCAGTTTTCAGACCGCCAAGGATACAGAACGACACGCGTGGAAAAGCCCTAAGAACATACATGAAGCCCAGGTGGCAGCCTGAGTACATAATGTGTCCTGAGCCAAGTGCTTCGAGAATATTGATGTAATATTGGGGTTGGGGTCGTTGTCAATGGACCCAAATCTTAGAAAACTTGCATACTAAGATAGAGAGGAAAAAAAAAAAAAACTGTGGCCAAATGAGCTGAAGGGGAGCTAGAATACAATTTAGGGGCACAGCTGGACCCACAAAGCCTGGCCTTTCCATTGCAGACCACAGTGTATGAATGGCCATCTGGAATCACTGCTGGAAAGACTCAGTTCCCCACCCTCTCCCCCATAAAGACCTGGCAGGCTTAACAGCAGTAAGTGGCTTCCGTCTCACCTACCATGCCCCTTTAGCCCTTTCCCCTTACCCCCTGATAGCCTAACACTTACTGAGTACCTGTTATTGACCGGGTACTATGCCAGGCACATTCACATACATTATCTTGTTATCACAACCCTGGATATAGGTGTCCTGAACCCCATTTTATCAAGGAGGAAACAGGACCCGAGGAATTCAGTGCCTAGGGTTACAACGTAGTAACCTGCAGAGCCAAGGTGGAACCCGGGTTTCCTGACTCCCAAGACCAAGGGCTTTTCTAGTTCCTATGTCTATCAAGGGATCAGGGGAGGGAGCAAGCCAGTAGGCTGACAGGGCAGGGCAACGATGAGCTCGACATCTTTGGTGTCAAAAACTCAAGTGACGGGCCACCTGGGTGGCTCAGTCGGTTAAGTGGCCGACTCTTGTTCGCGGCTCAGGTCACGATCTCACAGTTTCCGGGTTCGAGCCCCGTACTGGGCTCTGCGCTGACGGCACAGAGAACCGCTTGGGATGGTCTCTCTCCCTCTCTCTCTGCCCCTCCCCTGCTTGTGCCCTCTCTCACTCACTCTCCCTCAAGGTAAATAAATAAACTTAAAAAAAATTTTTTTTTAAATCCAAGTGAGTTTTGCCCTCTACTCTAGCTTATGCCTGTGTTTGTTTTGATATGAAAAGAATCACTGAGCAAAATCGGCACTCCAGGAAGATGTGCCATGTTTATTCTGTGGCTTCTTATAATAATGGCTAATAATAGCTACCAGTTCCTGAGCTGTAACTTAATAGCAGGTACATACTAAATGCTGTAGATAGATTATGCACCTTTATGTAGATAGATTAGCCCTCTGTGAGAGAGGATGTATGAGCCCCCCTTTTGTGAAGCGTCATGCCAACCCTGTGCTGTCCCCCTCCCCCAGGAAGCTGCTAGGTTGTAGGTAAGAGCCTTGATTTCAAACGCTGATCTCTCCCTTGCTAACAAAACCGCTTTGGAGCACGTGGATCATGTCCTGCGTATGCCTGTAACCCCAGTACCTAGTACCGTGCCTGGCACAGTCTTGGTGCCCAATGATGTACCATATCAGGGGGTGTCAAAGGCCTGAGATTCCTGGTCCTCTGCTTGGTCAGTTTCCCATCCTTGTCCCATACATCCAAGTAGCTGCCCGTGCGTTCTCTCAGCCATTTTTTGTCGCCCCCAGGTTGAGCTGCATCAGAGTCCTTTTAGAGGAAGAGGCTCAGGACATTCCTCCCAACCTCACTCGCACCTGAGATGCTCCAGCCAAGGTCTGAAGCTTGACTCCTTCCTGGTCCCCGAGCCCCCAGCCACAGTCTGCACACCCAAGCTGGTGAGCGGGGTGAGCTGGGATGGGAACACTGGCTTAGTTTTTATTTCCATAATTGTTGAACGAAAAAAAAAAAAACCCTTCACTCCCCAGTGGAGAAACCCCTCCTCTCACGGCCCTAATACCCAGCCCTTCTTGGGGAAGAGAGAGTCTTCTCGGGAGAATTTTGCTTATTTACAAATATGCCTGCAAGAAACTGAACCAGTCTGGCCACTCCCCTTGCTGAGGGGCTGGCAGGCCCAGGAGGCATCAGAGCCGGAGGCAGCCTGAACTGATCTCTGGGAAGCAGCCTCTGTCTTATCCCTATCTTACACGGCCACTGGGCTAAGAAGTGTGCTCGGGCCTCAGGGCCTCTCACTGCTCCACGGGGAGCCCCAGCCTGCTTGGCCTTTCCAGGCCTCCCTGTAGGAGTGAATCCAGACGGGCCCAGAGAACTCCTTCTATCCTGGAGCACATGTTTGGAGGCTCCAGGGTGCCTGCAGCACTGGGGTCCTCAGCTAGGAAGGTGGAGTGGGAAGGGAGCTACCCTGGGGAGCCCTCCCACACCCCAGACGCCGGCTAGAGAAATGCCCTTGTCTGAGGCTCCAGCTGTGGGTTACTCCCCAGTCATGGGCTTTGGGAATTAAAGGAGTCCTTCTTGCCCTTGGAGCCTTACCCTTTTTTTGTATCGATGCCCTGGGAGAACCGTGGGATTTGTCCAAGGTCACCCTTGCGGGGCTGTCAGGATCAGGACCCAGATGGGTGGGCCCTTGGCCATTCTCACTCCTGACTCTGAGGAATGGTTACAACCCACGGAGCAAAACGCTCTGGGCCGGGGGCAACGGGGAAAGGGTGAAGTGATTCGTGAGAGCCCAGGGTTGGCAGAGTCACCCTGTTTCCCTCCTTCCTGCCGATACGGGGGCCGAGGACAGCAAATCCACCAGACCAGCTTGAAGAACAGTAGGGCGGCTGTCTCTCAGTAATGCCACTCTCCTCACCACCACGTCCCAGATCGCCAGGCCAAGGCCTTCTCCTCAGCACTCGTGGGTACTTCCTGGATGACCAGCCAAATGTCACAAAGTGACATCTTCCCCCAAACCCATTTCTTCTCCCAGACTCCTCACCCAGGTTGATGGCAACATCACCTACCTGGGAACCAAACTGGCCGCCTGAGGGTTAACCGTTGATCTTAAGCTCCACATGCAATCAAAGCCCAGGTCATGGCCCTTCTACCCCCTTTCCACACCCCCCAGCTCCAGAGGGGCTCCCCCGGGGGCCACTTCATGGGGAGGTGGAGTGGTGCCGTGGCACCATGGCTAGGGGCAGGGTCCCAGAATCAGACGGACCCGGGTTTGAAGCCTGCGCTGCCACTGACTCACCGCGTGGCCTTGGGCAAGCCATTTCACTCAGTGAGCCTCAGTTTCCTTTTTGTGAAATAGGAATAACAATAGTACGTACTTCTTAGGGCTATTGAGAATCTAACTGACATGGTGAATATATTGCATAGGGCCCGTCCAGTGTTCCAGCCTGATACACGGTTACCTGCTGGTGTTAGTTCATCCCCATCGCTTGCCCACACTGTTGCTGTAGCCTCCGTCCCATGCCCCTCCCCCGGCCCGTACTCCGCCCCCATACACCCCTTCACCGTGCGGCCTAAACTATCTGCCACCTTCTCCCCAGGGAGCTGGAAAATGCAGACACGATCATCCGACTTCTTGGCTTAACATCTCTCTGTGGCTCTCCTGGCCCACCAGGTAACCCTTCTGGAATCGATTCCCTCTACCTACCTCTAACCCTGTCTTCCAGCTGTCCGCCCCACGCACATGCTCCGTGCTCCAGCCTGGGCTGCCTCCTCCAGGACCCCAAGTGTTGGTCCCTGGTGACTTTTCGCTTGTTCACCATCTGTCTGGAAGTTTTTATGCCTCGACTTCAACTCCTGTTTTTACCTAAAGAACTCCTTTCCAACTCACAAAACCCAGATTGTGCCTTCTTATCTAAGAAGCCCTCGAAGCACCCATTCCCCTGCCATTCCC